ATTGCACGGCTTGTTTATGCTCGGTGAGTTTGAAAGAATACATAATAAACTAAGAAATTTCAATTGAGCTGCGACGCTACTTTTTATAGTATATATACGAAAGATCACTATATGATTTTTTACACTTACCCAACCTATGATAGCCTTATTTCTGAGACCCAAACAGGTGAAACGGGTGGTTGGTTTTCAAGTTTTGGACCACACCATTTCCTGGAAAACAACGCAATTTCGAACATTTAAGGCGTTTATTTAAGATCATTGTATTTCATTAGCCGCAAGTTTACATAAGCTTCAGCTTTCTAGAGAGTTTTACTAAAGGAGTACTTGTTTCTTTACTGAAGACGACTGGAATAATTGACGTCTGCAAACAGGGCGAACGCCCCTTATTTAATAAACACGATGAATTTACAACCTTATTTCACAAGAGAACCAAATCTGACTCTTTGATACAGTGAACTATCCTTTTTAGCCTAATACGTTAAAAGTTGTTTATTTAGATATTTTGTACGGGCTGGTGGATGAGGGAAGGGAGTTTTTATGATTCAGAGCTGACCCCGATTACGTGAAGTGGTAACAGATGGACTTTGATTTCCAAGTTCATTGACACGAGGATTGCCCAGCTTGTTGGCACTGACAACCCCAAGCTGACAATTCAAGTGGCAGTGATTGTCCAAATTGTGATCCTAAGCAGTACTTATTCAGATAAACGTGAAGTATAAACTGACCCTTAGTACATGCATAGCAATGTTGTTACCAAGGCCCAGATTGCTGCTTGATACTTCGAGTGATGTTCAAACACGCAGCACGGTCATAGAACTTTTGTGAAACAATACATCTACTAATATAATTTTGCCACAAAGTAACGACACGTAATGAATAATAAGTTACATAACATATTGGAAGTATGTCTCTCCAAGCCATTACCTGTCTAAGTAGTAATATTATAGTTTATCGCCCTATGCAAAATTGCTTTCAGCCCTACCCCAGGAAACTGTAATAAATTGTCGTGAACCGAATATATTTCGCTTCCCTAAACTACTACTCGAAATCCAATAAGTGTGCGTCAGAACCATCCATGCATGCTGATCGGTCAACTCAAGCTCCAGCTTTTGTGGACGACAATCAGTGGCGAGCCTGATGAAACGAAAACTCTTTTTTCACCTTTCGTTTGTCCATACCTATCAACGGACATTGATGGCGAATTTGCTTGTTTAATTCGGTGAAATAGAAATAGCTTCGTATGACCAACTGTGTTGGTCTGTTTAGTCGCTTGTTCCTTTTAGTAAGCGAAAAAACTTTGGCGATTATTCTATAGTTCATGCACCAGCAATCCTTATTTTAACTAGCCTGGAGTATTGAAAGCTTGATCACCATGTCCGAGATCCGCAACTAAGCAAATTCACTTATTTTTATAAAAGTGTTTCTAATGGCAATTATCCTATCATTCTTATAGTGTATGCATTTGAAAGCAATACTTGGACAAAGCTGATGCTTTTCTTGTGGCCTTTTTGCAATTAAACAGGCCCATTTGATTTCTTCTTTAACCGTTGTATTTTCTTTTTACCTTAGCTTATATTGCTCTAGTGCTGTCCGTGTTTTATTCGTTATTCTTTAAAATAGCATCTTCCCTTTTCCTAAACTTGCCTATAACTTTAAGAGTTATTGAGCCACAATTCAGCAAGCATTTCGCACATGAACAATTAGATGCATCATCGTCAACCGTATATTTCCTAGTACCCGTATGAATACTGTCATATGCAACAATATAAGCAGAAAGTAAGATTTCTTGTAAAAGCCGAGGAATCAGCATTTTCGTGTGAATCATCGAAATGATTCGTTGGTGAGCAATTGCTTCCCGTTTAGCCACTGGTCTATACTCGTCTTATTGTGCAGCAAATCTGAACCCTCTCTGTATCCTGTCCAAATTAAATGCCAGATAAGTCTTCAAGTGCGTATCATATGTCTGGGCTGCGGTACGTTATTTCAGTATGGCACACTTCAGTTATGTCATTATGTTTAGGGGACTATATTGCGGCAACTTCATTTGCGACAATTATTGGCTATAATAGAGTCGAAATGCCTAATCTTTGGAAAATGGAGCAAGGCACAAGTTAAAGGCGGATGAAAACATTTGTGAATCGCTGTTGAATTGCTAGATGTATTAAAATGCTTCTGAACTCTGGTATCTTGGCTTGAACTTTTGGTTTCTAATTTGTTCTCAGAGCTTGGCGATTCCTTTACAAACGCTTTTACCACCATACGAGCTGGTATCGTCAGTGCGCTGCTATGTAGTGTAATCTTGCTGATGATATCACCTATCCGTGATCGGAGAGCAGTCGACTTTCGAAAATGACGAGTTCGATCTGCGCTCCCTGATCTCTACCCATTTTCTCCGCTGCTAAAGTTATCGAATGAACTGTTCTTGTTTAAGCGTCGTTATACATTCCGCCAGGTGCTATCCGTCGGACAGGGTAGATGTCGAGACGTATGTTGACTGCCTTAGACCAAAAGGTCTTTGGATGCTCACACGGCATTGTAGCGCGATCCCGACGGGGCTTTTGCATGGTGATCTGATAACAGGCGCCAATTCAACATGACCAAGTGCAAAGTCGTAAGCATACGCCATTGGCTTGTCTATGAATATCGACTTGGGGACCAGCAGTTACAACGTGCTTCCCAAGCAAATGACCTCGGGGAGATCGTGCAGTACGATCTTGGTTGCTCCAGACAGGCTAAAAAATCATTTAAATGTGCCAGTCAAGATCTTGGACTCTTACGGAGGGCTTTCGGCGATTTTGAGTTATTAGCCTCTCCGCAAATGCTGAACGCCTACGTGAGGCCTCACGTGGAATATGTGATCCAAGGGCGGTGTCCCTAGCGCAAGCGCGACGTTGATGCACTTAAAGTTCCGCAAAGTAGAGCGACAAAACTCGCTAGAGGATAGTTTCATCTCTCTTACTAGCGCAGACTGCAGTCTCTGAGATTGTACAGTAGTAAATATCGATGTCAGCGAGGTGACCTAACCCTGGTTTACTTAATATTGACGAACCCAACTCACCTATGTCGTAGTCTGTTGAAGCCAAGCCAACAAACAATGCTGAGAGGCAATCACCTCAAACTAGCTACACAATACAGTCGGTACGATTGTCAACGGAACGTTTTCTCCCTCCTTATGTAGCTTGCCTGGGATGTCCTTTCGACTTGCGTTATCTTTGCCACCACATTAACGCTATTAAAAGTACGCTTTGATGAATCGCTCTGCAACTTGCATTACTTAATATAGTCCGTTCCACTTGGAGGATGGAAGCACGCAAACCTATCGGTGCTTGAAGAGGCCCACTTCGCAACGTGGTGGTGAGGATACATGCAGTAGTGTCCATGTGATTAGACTGGACGTAGCTAAACTGTATTAACATACCACATCTATCAACTGATGCAACGCACGACAGATTGTTGTCGTTTCCATTTTACTGAGAATTTCATCCCAGTAGTTTACAAACTACATAGCATATCCTAGTCCGCGAAAGCACCAGACGCGTTTCGCTCTATGGGGCTCGTCATTGGTGCACATTTCCCCAGTTTACCTGTGGGAGGATTCTTTAAATGTTGCAATGTACTAAAACTATCCTAAGGGATTTGTCATGCACATGCTATTTTACCCGTGATAAAGCATACTTCATTGTTCATTGTCATCTTTGATTCTAATATTGATAACACTCAATAATGTTTTGGGACGTAAATCCAAACAGTGCTTTTATTCGACAGGAATGTTGATAATTCTCACCAGGCGATCTCATATTAGTGTAATAAAGTTAAACGACCCCGGCCACATAAGCCGTCATTTTGTGAAAAATAGCCACAGTCTGTCGCTCAGAGATATAAGGTTGAAATTGAAGGACAGATACAGTGGTATAAAGTGCTGAAGAAATTATATTTTCCTTTGGATTTTTCAACTCAGGATCTTGCTCCCAATCTTAGTTTTATCCTCCCCTAATTTGGACATTTTCAAAAAAATTGGAGCTTACTGTTCGCTTCCGGCACTTCATTAACTAAATTGCGTCATTGTGGATTACGATAACTATTCCATTCTATCGGCTGTATGTACTATAATGACCCAAGGAAACGCCGTATAATTGATCCACAATATTTTTCATTCCTCACGTTTAATGTCGACGAGCATTTAACCCAGTTTATTCTTGTATGTTTGCTAGCGACTTTCATTTTGACGTTATTTATCAAAGCTATCATCTCGGTAGACACTCGGTGAATGACTCACATATCGATTGATTCCGATATGTTCATCGCAGCCATCCTACGGGTCGTTTCAAGCACTTGCTTTTAATCCATAGTAAAGCATTGTTCATTAAATGTTGGAATCTGGAATGAACACACGTTCTGCACTTCTGGCTCAATTTGGGTGGAATGTATTCCGCATAACTGCGTAGACTTCCATCGAACATACAATTAAATAAATGAGCTTTATTCTCGAATCTGTTTGGAACGCTACTAGAGCCTTGAGTATGTATCTCATACATTCGGTTCACTGTCACAAAAACTTTTAGAAAAAGCTTAAAAGCCTAGTAATCATGATGATTACCGCCAAACACTATTCTTCAAATTCCAGTCCTAGTTTGGATATCACTACCACATTAGTCGAAACCAGGACGAAACCACCGAATTTGTCGTCACGTTCAAAATAAATCTGCTACAGGTATGTTGCGGCACTGTAATCACGCACGCATACTCCCGGCGCACAGAACAGAGTACAGAGTAGCGAACAAGCTTGTTTTCATGGCTTCATCATCAGGCTAATACAACCACAATAAAGCAAGTTAGAATAGACACGTATCATTCGGTCTCCTAGAGGAAATGCTCTACTTGTCGGAGTTGGCGGATCTGGGAAACGATCTCTCACGCGCCTCGCTTCTTACATCGCGGATTATCAGGTGTTCCAGATTGTTCTCACCAGATCTTACAACGTGACTAATCTACTCGAAGATATGAAAAATTTGTACCGCACTGCCGGACTGGAAGGAAAGGGTGTAACCTTCATCTTCACCGACTCAGATGTGAAGGACGAAGGTTTCTTGGAGTACATCAATAACATTTTGGCCTCTGGTATGATCTCGGGACTCTTTGCACGTGATGAGATGGATGAGGTCTTGTCTGCTCTAGTCCCTATAATGAAGAAGGAGTTTCCTAAAAGACCCCCAGAGAACGAGCTTCTCAACGACTACTTCATGTTACGGATTCGAAAAAATCTGCATGTCGTTTTATGCTTTTCTCCCGTGGGTGAGAAATTTCGGCAACGCGCTCTTTACTTTCCTGGTCTTATTTCCGGTTGCACAATTGATTGGTTCCAACGCTGGCCTCAAGATGCCTTACTGGCGGTGGCTAAGCACTTCCTTAACGATTACGAAATGGCTTGTCCACAGACCACAAGGACAAACCTGATAACTCTTATCGCCGACGTACACGACGACGTAGCGGCGCGCTGTACTGCATATTTCGAAAGGTATCGACGCACTGCGAATGTAACCCCAAAATCTTATATTTCGTTCATTCATGGCTCGTCCACACTTTAGCCTTGCCTTGGCCTGAGATCAACGCGACTAACAATGGCAGTCACGCCAATTCACTTGACCAATCAGACCAAACACGTAGACTTAGCGATTAGTTACTCTGTTTCAGTGACTCAATTTAAACCATCGTGTCTATTCTAACTTGCTTTATTGTGGTTGTATTAGCCTGATGATGAAGCCATGAAAACAAGCTTGTTCGCTACTTTCTGTTTCTGATGTCATCCCCGGGAATTATTTCTCAAGAGTACAGAGTGCAGTTAACGCTGTCTGGAAAAAGATATAAACTGGATTGCGAACGTTGAAGAAAACAACATACAAGATATCTCATATTCGAAGGACAAGTAGAAGCTCTAAAAACGGCATTAGCAGTGGCCTGATTCACACCGCATGTTGTAGAAGAATATAAAGGATTCCTATAAAATCAAGGCCGGCAACGTATCCTCTATGGAGCCTGTGCAAAAGTAATAACTATCGTTTGCTTTTTTATAATGTATTAGGCCCTGAGTCCAGTCCAAATTTATGACTATATTGTGTATTTGGAGCCAATGGATAATAGTATTGCTTTACAAGCTTCGTTGGGTATTCTGGTGGATTGTGAAAAACGTAAATGAAAAAAATTTATGTTCTTAGTTCCAAAAATATGGACTGTTGGTTTTTAATGCAGTTATCGGGTTTAGACGAACAAGGTAAGCATAAGCCACCTTAAGCGCACAGGACAATTGCATGAAGATAAATATTAGACAAGGCAGGAGCTAAGACACAGACTGGCTTCACACTAGTGACAACTGCAATGCCATCGGAGGTCTGTCTAATCAGCTGCACCCTCATTCGCATATATATGTGCAGACATTCAATTAAATTTGCAAACGTACCCAGAAAACCAAACTTACCGAACACTAGCCACAATACCTTGCGGGACACTGTACCAACTACTTTAATGGAATCGACAAACAGCGAGTACAACGGATGGTTTCATTATCTCCACTGACAAGTCACAAACACCATTTATATAGTGCTGCCAGCTGAACGGAATCCACGTTGCTCCTCTGCCACGTTTGGGTCTACAACCTTTCAAACGAAGCGGTTGCGTAGGATTTGGGCAACCACATTGCCCAAACAACCCAGAAAGTTGATACCACGAGAATTTGTGCAACATCGCTTGCTCCCTTTGCCCTTGTGCAGTGGTAGCACACGGGCATCCTTCAGCTCAGGAGGCACCTCCTCCTCAATCCACATGCGTTGTACTAAATGCTGCAGTACATTCACCAAAGCTGGTCCGCCGTGTTTTACTACTTCAGGCGGGATCCCGTCGGCACCAGCACAATAGCCATTTCGCGGCTGAGAAAGTGCTGTCTGCGTCTCATCTACTTTCGGCGTGTCCGGCAGACTTACTTTTACCTCGGGCTGCTTCAGACCGTTCAGTGTAGGCTAGGCAACCTGAACGGTTGTCCAAGATACAACGAAAGTGTGTTCGTCTGCTCTGCATTTTTTCTGGAGCCTGTGTACAGGCAGTGACTGAAGTAGCATCGAGTGGTGTCAGCAGCGGCTCCAACCTCGGTCCATTCACCGCCATCAAAGTGGCATAGTATTCCTTGTGTTTTAAGCGTTCGGCGTAGCGTTCCATGTGCTTCGCCTTCTCCATCCATCCTGCAATTTTATGCGGCGGAACTCTCATGTCATTCAAGGCGGAATTTCGCGAAACTGACTATTATTCACCAAATCACTAGGGCCTACTCCATGTTCAGAAAATGCTGCATTCTTCTCAGACCCCACTGCGCCTACAGTCGCAGTGTTATCAGCAAACTAATCAGGCCACTTAAAGTTTGCGCGCCTGATGGTTTCCTCGTCAGTAGCTATCACGTGGTTCCGAATGGGGGGCACGGGTCACCTAATGTGGCCACGCATTCCACATCACACAGGCGTACATACATTGCCGGCACGAGCTGCTGCATTTTTCCACAGTTCCTAAGGAAAGAACGTTAGATTTTTGCCTGTTCAATTAAGGAATACAATACATAGATTTACGAAAATACATCTACCTTTCGGTCCGCACCAAGTTGTGATCAGTGCCACACTTAGCTCCATACGGTACACGTATCATTCGTAATTCACGCATATCACGCAGAGGTAAAATGATACAATCAAGCAGCTTAGCGTGATCACTTCCTCGGTGCGTCCAAGTTGCTATAACATCCGCACTCAGTGCAGATCGACGATTCGTTGTCGTCTGCCAGTGTGTGGAGACTAATGAGAACAGCCTGTCACCGTTCGCATTCGCTGAACCAATACCACGCGGACCGATGACATCTGCCCACACCTTTGCATCAGGCCTAAAGCGCGTTAAATGCACTCAGCAGAAATAGTTGGTTGCTCCACGGCACAGACCGTATCACGGAGTATAACTGAGTGTAAAATTGATCACGTGTGTCGTCATCAGGATAACACATGCTCGGACCGTACGTGCATATAACCATGGTAAACGTACCTCTTCCGGGTGGAAGACGAGCAGTTACCAGTCGCGCGCTGATGCAAGTCGACTCACCCACCAGCTGGCCATTTAGGCGATCGGATAATTCATGTTCCATCCCACGTTAACGTGGTGCTGTGGAGACGTTTCCCGCCCAGTAGAACATACAGCCTGCACCAGCTTTATGCAACTTAGCTTGCACAACAAGCCGGGTCTCGCTGAGCGGCGCAATATTGATGTTGTATCGCGCCACTTCCATCGCGAACAGCGCAATGTGTCGTTCGGAGCGCTTACTCGAATGTTGGCCTATTAGTTTGTGCACGTTTCAGCACCTAACATGGAGCGCTTTGCGCGCAGGTTTACGAGTGCGTAGGCGGGCAAACTTATGAGTGGTGAAGACCTGGATTATAGGAAGTAGTGGGTTGGGTGAAAAGCGGATGGGTAGAGTATGTGCAGGAGAAGAGTAAAGAAGAGAGGCTTCAGTGGTAGCATGTTGTCGCTTCTCCATCCCGCTGTATGCATCTGATAAGGCGACCCTTTTCTTAAGACCATTGCGTGACAGCCGATGCAGCATAGATTTATTATTATGGGTGAAATTCATGATTTGAGAAGTGAATTAGACTCCTACCAAAGCGTCCACATTTGACATGAGAACGACTCCGATACTCAACCAAAGCTTTTGTTAACGCATAAAGGCAAACGCCAGCAGGCCGAGCGCCGGACGTCAGTGAACCGACTTACTTGGAATTGTGTGTTTTGGATCTTAGTTAGAAGTAGTATGTCACCCAACTTCCAGTCAGCCGTGGTCCCGAATTAGCGTCCGAGAAATGAGTCGACAGCACAACATTAGCAGCAGCTGATCAATGAGCTGTCATGTTCTCGCTACCACAAACCTCAGCGCACCAGGGGTTCTTCCCTGATTATAAATATGGTTGGCGGCATCCGGTTTCGGATTTGCCTGTCAACATGGTCACGCACAAAACGCCTACGCCTACAGAGGGACCATGGATGGTTTGCGCTGTACCACACACAGCTCCATCCACACACCCCATATCCAGTGTAAACCCGAAGGAATAAGACCTGGAGGCATGTGGATGGGAGCCACGTTTCATCAAGGGTGTAAGCCCACACTCCTTCACAGGTAAACACAAGCACGTTGTATATGGGAAGCAATCGCACACAACACGGTGACTGCACCCTATTCCGCTCCATGATGAGTGCATGGAACCACTTTTCGAGCCTAGCACGGCCACAATGACAGTGAAGTCCGTCCCCTCCAACAATGGCCAACTGTCTCCTGGAGCCAGTATGGACGAGGTAGTGGATAATATAGAGGTAGGCATCTTGTCAACATGCACATCAAGCGCAGCCGCACCAGGAATATCAAGAAACAGCCAATCACTCGAAATAACAATATCAAATAAAATATATCGATTAAAGCATACGGCTATGCAGACATAACTCCTCGCTAAATTAGCATATGTTGTAAGTTGTTTATCAACGAATAAGCGACAAGTACAAAATGTCCAAAGTTACTGCAAAATGCTAAAAACGAACTAAAATTCACGAGGATAAGAGCAATCAGCTTGAGCAACGTATGCAAGTTAATAGATTATTCAGGTAGACAGAAGAAACCAATTAAAGTGGAATGAAATGTATCCAGCTTAAAAAGAAGTATTTTACGTGTAACTTGTTTTAGCCTAACTGCATTGAAGAATCATTATGAATGCAACGTCAGCTTTGGCATTTATATATATATATATATATATATATATATATATATACGGACGGTCGATATATGGCTAGTGCTGCACCATCCTTTTCGCCACCCACACACTCCGTAACCAGTTTAATCAAAATAAATGTTTGAGAGGCAAGTGTATATGAGCCACTACTGATTCGGTGCTTGCCTGCACTTTTTCCACCTGCCTATCTCTCATAGAAAAGAATAAAACCAAGCATACTTGACGTATACAGAGCGGTGAATAGGCAGTGATTGTACTGCACTGCATGTAAATACTATTTGAGACAAGCACTGTCACGGAGACGATTCTGCCCATTTCCCCAGGAACGATCAACGCTCCCTCGAAGCCATTAATCAAGGTAGTGCTTTGCGACAAGTATCTTGCGAACTTTCACATTAACCGCAACCAGGCTACTGATACAAATATTCAAACGTTGGCAAACATTCCTTTGCACAAACTGGTAACCCTGCAGGCATACAACACATTAACGGCTCGATTTCTTAAATGAATCGGAGGCAGCATGCTTACCATGCTCTGGCACATGCCTATTTAAATTACTCTTTAGCTCTTGGACTTGGTCCTTCTTGAGTACGTTGCTGAGTTACTCAAATGAGCAGGCTAAAACAGACACAACCTGACAGCACCAGTTGCGCATTGTGGACGGATCACGTTTCGTCAGCATCTGCGTAAATCGCGCTCTTCCACTTGATGCAACACTACATTTACATGAACCTAGGCGACGGAATTTCCAGTGTGAGTAGGTTATTGTCTGTCTTCCAACGATATTACTT